TCCCAAAATAGACCCTAGGTACAAGTAGGACCTGCAGCACACAAAACCCTAAACCCTAAACCCTAAACCCTAGACCCTGGCTCGGCAGCAAGCCCTCGGCCCCGCCCCAGCGACCTTCTTCCCAACGGCGGCCGCGGGGCGAAGCGCAGCAAAGCCGCGCGGCGCCCAGGCCCGGCCCAAACCCCAAACCCTAAACCCTAAACCCTAAACCCTAAACCCTCACCGCTGCTTGGCGACAAGCGCAGCAGCAGACAAGCAGCAGAAGATGGCCACGGAAGCCAGAAATGCTGCAGGCACCACTTGGGGCCCCACATAAAAGTGAACTGCTGCTAAATAGTTGCCAGCTAGCATTCCATTAAGAAAGCCAAACCCCCCGAAGTACAGCGCCCGCTCCCCAGTCAGCATCTGCACACAAAACATTATTAAATTAATTAAATTAATTAATTAATTAACTAACTAATTTAATTAATTTAACTGTTTATTTGCTCGTTTAGTTGGGGCACTGGAGAGAAAGGGGGCGCCAGCAGCCACGGAGCCGCGAGCCGCAAAACGCTCCAGCCATCAAACCCTAAACCCTAAACCCTAAACCCTCGGCAGCAGCAGCGGAAGCAGCACAAGCTGTAGCAGAAACTGCAGCAGAAACTGCAGCAAAAGCTGCAGCACAAGCTGCAAATTCCACCCGAGAGAACCAGATACAACAAAGAAACACCGAAAAGCAGCAACCCGCAGCAGCCGCAGCAGCAGCAGCAGCAGCCGCAGCAGCAGCAGCAAACCTTGGACTCTGCGTGGGCCTTCTGGGAGGAGAAGCTGAGGGCGAGGACGCATGCGAGGGAAAGGAGGAGGGCGAGGAAGTTGGGGAGGGCGAAGCAGTTGAGGTGTACGTACACCCCGAGGGCCGTGGCCAACACGTTCGAAGTCAAAGCCGCATAAATCTTCGCCAGATGTTTTTTTTGCAAATTCGAAAGTGGAGAGAAGTCCAGCAGCGAGCGCGCGGGCACCGCAGCAGCCCCCAACACCCCAAACGCCTCCATCTTGCTCCGCCGTCCTGCAGCAGCAGCAGCAGCAACAGCAGAGAGGCAAGTGGAGCGGAGTGGAGGGGCTTTTGTTTCAGAAAGATGAAAATGATCTCGAATTCAACTTCCGGGGAGCCGCTGCGCGCCCCGTGAGCTGTACATACACCTCAACGGCGGAAACTGCACTTTCACGAGACTGCTGTCCATACACTGCAAACAACCAGCAGCAGCAGCGCCACGGGAGCAGCAGCAGCAGCGCCACGGGAGCAGCAGCAGCAGCGCCACGGGAGCAGCAGCACACCACGGGAGCAGCAGCAGCGCCACAGGAGCAGCAGCAGCAGTTCGCGCCACGAAACGCAAAGAAAAAGCCAAAAGGAAGCAAAAAGCTGCGCGCATGCGCCGCAGCAGCAGCAGCAAAGGCAGCACCAGCAGGCGAAGCTGTCTCGCCCTCTGCTGCTCTATCCGTCGAATTTGACGGTCAAAAAGTTTAAAAAAATCGAGAAACGTCGAGACGGAGGCAGCAGCAAAAGAATTCACAAAGAAACGAACTGAACACGGAACGCAGACTGCGCACGAGCAACGAAGGCTTCCAGCGCCTCAGCGCCTCGCCACCAAGACTAAAAGGAAAAATAAGCAAGAAAATATAATTAAAATGAGAAATAACGCAAACTAATCCAGCAAAACGCACAGAATTGACGGTGTGAGGAACTGCGAAAGAGGCGGCAGCTTCAGGTGTATAGACAGCTCCGAACGCGTACCGATGCACTTGCAGAAAAGAATATCTAGGGCGTGTTTAAGACGTCCAGTTGCATTACTTTCCGAAACTTTCAATTTAATTCGATCGGCCTTGCTGAAGCAGCACACCCGAAGCGGATCTTCTGCGAGCCGCAGCAGCAGCAGCAACAGCGCACTGAACGGCTGTTGGCTGCGGCTGCTGCTGCTGCATGGTTTTCGTGTTATCTCGTTTCTTCTAATCCTTTTTTCTTTAAAGACGCGAAAACCCTCTCTGAAAAAAGGCTTTTATTCCTGGGGATCTCTTCCCTCGCTTACCATCACATGCACCACCAAAAGGCTTTCCACATGTTAAAAAGCTGTTCTTCTAAAAAGGGAGCGCTGTTAATTAGGGGCCCCTTCGTTGCTGCTGCAGTTTGCAGACGAAGCACTTCTTGCTTCTTTCCCCTTCTGCTGCGCCTTCCCCATTCACATCTGGGGTGTACGTACACTTGGTGTAGACTCTCCAGCCTGTCCTGAACGCCGCCGAAGGGCCTTTGTCAAAAGTTTCTTAATTAACTTCTGCTTCTGGGCTGCTGCAAGTCTAGCAGCAGCGCAGTGCGGTGTCTGTACACATCTTGTGTGTGCGCTCCTCTATGCAGCACCAGTGCACGTAGGGCTGCTGGAGCAGCAACACAGGTGCTCCTGCAGCAGCAACACAGAGGCTGCTGCTGCAGCATTACAGGGGCAGCTGCTGCAGCAACACGGCTGTTGCAGCTTAGCTTTCTGTGCTTCAGCAGCTTCCGCGTTGCTGCTGCAGCAGACAAAGCTAGGGGGTTTGCTGCCGCTGCGTGTAGCCCCTTAGTGCAGCGCAGCGCAGCTTAGAAAGCTTGGGCACCTTTAGACGGGCAGCAGCTAAAAAGAAATTTAAAGGAATTATCGATTTGATTTTGCTGCTGCTGCTGATTCTGCTGTTGCTGCTGTCCTCACCCCTCGTCCTCTTCCTACTGCTCTTTCTGGTGCCGCTGCTGCTTCTACTGCCATGCTGCTTGCTTGTTGCTGCTGCCCTACTGTGGCATTTCTCCTGCAGGCTTGTTGCTGCCTTGCTGCTGGCGCGTTGTTGCTGCTGCTGCTTCGCTGCTTCTGCCTTGCTGCTGCGTTTTCCCCTTCTCGTGGCCTCTAGGTACAGCAACAAGCACTAGAAGGTACCTTTCTTAGTTTTCGCCGGTGTGCTTTGGTGCTGGAGAAGTGTGTAACAAGTCTGGCAAGTAAATGTACAATCAAATCTGATTATGGATCTGAAACAAAATCTACACATTTTTATATGTCCATAATATGCATATATATTGGTAATCTGTTATGCATTCGTACTAGTATACGGGCAAACAAATGAATGAAAAACTAGCAGCACACATCTAAACGTAGAGAATGGGCACTAAGGCTTTTTCATAATACGAATAAAATGGATTTATTAATTTTGCTTATAATATGATTTACAAGCGAGTGCATTAAGCTTTATACATGGGAAGTCCTGGCAAGCGGCAAATTCCGCCTCGGCGGCGCTCAAAGGAACTCAACTCCAAAAGGAATCCTCTGCAGTCCCGCTTTTGCTGTAGTTGCAGCAACAGCTACTGCTGCTGCTGACTGGGCTGCGGCGACCGCCGACTGTGCTGCATTTGTTGCTGTTGCTGACAGAGCTGTTGCTGCTGCTGCTGTTGCGAGTACTGCTGCCACTGCTGGCGCCGGAGTCGGCACAGCGCGTGCATGCGGTGAGTGGGGCTTTGGGGCTTTCCTGTTGAGGTCTTGTGCCAGCTTCCCGTCTCGATACAGCTTCTAGTTCCCTTCCTGATCCCGCTTCTGCTGCTCTTCAGCCCCGCAGCAGCAACAGCATCCTCAGCTGCCGCAAGTTGATGGGTCTTCCCTTGACAGCGGCTATGCGGGCCCTTAAGCCAGGGCCCACAAAAGGAGGCCGCCGGAAGGGGGCCTTTTACAGAACCTATCAGCTCCAGCACCTGGGAGAAGAATCTCTATTCAAACAACAAATGCATCTGGGGGCACGGTCTGGCCTCCTGTGGCTTCCTAGGGGCCCCCTAGGGACTTCCTGGGGGCCTCCTAGGGGCTCTAGGGCTTCTGGGGGCCTCCTCGGGGCATCATGGGGCCCCATGGCGGTTCCCGAAGACCCCTGTGGCTGCGGCGCCGGATATGCATGCAAAGGAGCTGGCGCTTTTCTGCTAGAGTGGGGCCTAGGGGCGCCTGGGGAAGCAGAGCTTAGAGCTCGCGGGTCCCTAAAAAAATCTTTTGAAGGTCTCTAAAGAGAAGCATCCGCTGCAGGTAAAGGCGCCTGCAGGGCCCTCGCTGTGCGCTGAGGCGCAGCTAGGCAGCCTGTAAGGCTGCCGCACGTGCTACAGCAGCTGCAGCAGCTGCAGCAGCTGTAGCAGCGCTCGCCAGGTCGTCGGGTTGCAGCAGCAGTACTGCGCCATGGGTCCCGGGAAGCAGCAGCAAAGGGTGGTCTTGCTGTGTTGCTGATTTATGACTTTCTTTGATACTAATCAAGGTAATTAGCTCTAGGGTCGTTGGGGCTGAGCACCACTAAAGAAAACATGGTTCCCTTGCAGCAAGGCCCCCCAAGACTGGGAAGACTTGACTGCTAGGCTGCCGAGGGTTTGGGGGGGCTAGAGGGCGCTTTAGTTGCCTGTAGGACCAGCGACGAACAAATAGGAGACAAAAAAGAGACCCACAGCCAGCAAAAGAAGAGGCAAATGAGGAAACAAACAAATACACAAAACACATGCAGAGAGGGGGGAGAGCTAGAGAGGAACTAAGGGTGGAAATAACAGACAAATGGAGAGATATGGCAGAAGAGTGACAAACTCAACCAGCAGCCTGCCCCACTGGTACACCTGGCGCCACAGCAGTGCTGCTGCAGCGTTGCTGCAGTGCGGCTGCAGCGGTGTTGCAGCGCTGCAGCCTAACCTGCCTCCCGCGTGCAAGAGTGTGCTGGGAGTTGCTTTGTGGGAGCCCGAAAGGCCCCCACAGAGGTCTTTAAGCGGTTAGTTTGGCTGTGGGTTTTGCTGGTGAGTTTTAAGTTCGAAACAAACTTAAGGCTTCTTGCTGGCCATTCAGCTTGCCTAAAAGCCATTCAACGCCTCTTTGCATGTGTTTTTTCACTTTGCTTGGTCTTTTCCCCCGGGAAAAAGCCCTCATGTTCCCGGATTTTAGCGATTAAGCCTCCGCAAATAAAGCAGACTGATTTGTTTGCAAATGTGTATTCAGTGAAAAGAAACATGTGCTTCAATAGGGAGAAGAGCACGCAATTCGCTGAGCCCTTGTTACTTCTAGTCCCCTCGAATAGCAGATTAAATCCCAGCCAGACGTTCCAACCAGTCCTCAAGACACTCACAAAGTCCTCAAGGCACGTGCAAAAGATAAGTTCTGCTGGCTTCAAATTTACTGGCAGCAAAGCGCCTGAAGGATTCCAGCCACGCCGGTGGCTAAAGGGGGGCGGTTCGGCTGTGGCAGCAGCAGGAAACAGGAGTTTCCTGTGGTTCCTCTTCGGGCTCTGAGCCTTTAGTCAAATCCCTTCATATGATATGCCAATATATCAGTTTTCGCCCCACTCTGCATTATTTACAACATATATATCGTCGCCCTTGCTTCTCAGAATGCATGATATGGTAAAAGTTTGTTTCAGCCTTCACCTTATTTAAAAATAGGCGTTTGCGTTTGCTTTGTGGTTGGCGCTACCCGTGCGTTTGAAACAGCGTGCTATCTGCTGCTACTTCCGCAATCCCTTTCCATTGCTTCTCGTTGCCTCCTGAGCGCATGCACGCGTTTCTGTAAGCGTTTTGCAGCGGTAACAGCAGATGCAGCAACGTGCTGCTGCCGCTGATGAGACGGGCTACGCTGACCCTGGCGGGGAAGCCTTACCTGGGTAGCACTTCTGGGGTCGCTGCAGATCTCCCTAGAGCCCTAAAAGTAGACACTTCGGCCTCCCAATGCATTCGTTTGTGCTTTATATGAGTACTTAATTCGGCTATTCAGCGCAAAAATTGCCGACTGCACGCGAGCGGGGGTGACCCCTCAGAGAACGAAAGTTATTAGAAAAGGCGGTTTGCCTTCGCGAGAGAAGGCTTAAGCTTTGTCTGGCTGCCCACTTTTCTAAGGTGCCTCGTGCGCACACGTTGTGGCGTAATCCTGTGCTCTAGCAGACTTCTCGGCAGTTGGCGCGCCTGTGGTGATAAGGGAAGAATGAATTAAAAGAGATTCTGCTGATCCGCATTCGGCAACCTGTTTCAAAGAATATTTTT